GAGGCAGCCGAGGCAGGAGAAACAGTGTTTTTGCTGTACAGGAAAGTAAGAAAGAAGCCAGAGACCTAGTTCTTATCTCTAGGAAAACACTTTTTGAACTACACCAACCTCCCTTCTGAGAAGGTTACGGCTTCTTTGTTGACTTGGGCTCTCTTCTCACAGGACTGTATGTGTAGTTTCCACAGATCCCGGAGGCTTGCTGATATTATGAGGGTTTTGAATTTAAGGACAGGTGCAGGAACAGGCTCGCAGAGCGTCATTGTCACCTAAGCCTGATTGGAGCTTTGGGCACATAGCTGGACTCTCCCTGGGATTTAGTAATTCCCTAACCCGTGACAAACCAGGGCTGCTTTGCACCAGAACGTGGACCCCAGGCCATGTCTCATCACCCACCATGCCGGCTCCCTCCTCTCAGCCCGTCACAAACCAAAGGACCCCGCCTCGATGAGCCAGACTTGGTGGTGAATAATGTCTAAGGCGTTGCTGGTACTCAAATTTGTGGTGATTACAAATCCACAGTGTGTCATTATAACTTTGTAACATGATGGTACAGTTAGCACTGTGTAAGTGCATCTTGATGGCGTCAACTGTATTCTTTTAATTTCTGTATCTCAGGATTTTCTGTATACTCCAGCAAGAAGCTGGTTTGTTTGGGCTTAGGGTCTTTTTTTTTTTTTTTTTTGGTTGTTATTGGTTTTACAAACCTTCTGGCATGAGTTTGCTTATCTGAAAAAAAGAACCAAAACCTAATCGTTCAGAGGTGTCATGAGGATTAACATAATGCGGGTATAAGTGCTTTAATAAGCATCATTATTTGAAAATCCCTTGCAGATGTTAGCATGTGATTTGCTGAAACTGTAGAACCTCATAAGGCCTGCAAGAACATAAACCACAATCCCCTGAATCCTATAGGTCTGTGACCCACACACTGTAGAATTATAGAGCAAGGACCTAAAAATCAGAAACTACCAGATGTTAACATGGGTCCAGAATCTCACAGTGAGTGAAGTCATATCTTTCTCTGTCTAGCTTCTGTGATTCTAAGAGGTTAGTGAGTTTGTCTCCCATGGCAGAACAATGGCTGATTGATCTTCCCTTTGCTCAAGGATCCCAGTGTGTGGACACTGAGGGTTTTCTGAAGTTCCGCTAAAAGCTTCTCCTCATCGAACTCTCCATTCATGACAAACACGATGAGTTCCTGCCATCTGCAAAATACAAAAAACACATCAAGGTCTTTTGCAGGTTTGTTTTCTGTCCTGCCTGATATTAAAAGAATGGAGAGAAATTTATCTCTTTAGTGGGGTTCATTTAAACTCCCAAACTCAGGCTCTAACATGTATGTGACGCTCTTGATTGCATAAACAGTACAATAATCTCTGCGTGTATAGATTTTCGAAAACCTTAGAATAGTCACTTTTAAGTGACTGCTAATTTAGTTCACTGGATTTGCTTTTGAGTTTATTTTTGTGTATGGTGTTAGGGAGTGTTCTAATTTCATTCTTTTACATGTAGCTGTCCAGTTTTCCCAGCACCAATTATTGAAGAGACTGCCTTTTCTCCATTGTATATCCTTGCCTCCTTTGTCATAGATTAGTTGACCATAGGTACGTGGGTTTATCTCTGGGCTTCCTGTTCCATTGATCTATATTTCTGTTTTTGTGCCAGTACCATATTGTCTTGATAACTGTAGCTTTGTAGTATAGTCTGAAGTCAGGGAGGCTGATTCCTCCAGCTCTGTTTTTTTGTTTGTTTTTTTTGTTTTTTCTGTTTTTGTGTGGTACGCGGGCCTCTCACAATTGTGGCCTCTCCCATTGTGGAGCACAGGCTCCGGACACACAGGCTCAGCAGCCATGGCTCACGGGCCTAGCTGCTCTGTGGCATGTGGGATCTTCCCAGACCGGGGCACGAACCTGTGTCCCCTGCATTGGTAGGTGGACTCTCAACCACTGCACCACCAGGGAAGCCCTCCAGCTCCGTTTTTTTCCCTCAAGATTGCTTTGGCTATTCGAGGTCTTTTGTGTTTCCATACAAATTCTAAGATTTTTTGTTCTAGTTCTGTAAAAAATGCCATTGGTAATTTGATAGGGATTGCATTGAATCTGTAGATTGCTTTGGGTAGTATAGTCATTTTCACAATACCAATTCTTCCAATCCAAGAACATGGTATATCTCTCCATCTGTTTGTGTCATCTTTGATTTCTTTCATCAGTGTCTTATAGTTTTCTGAATACAGGTCTTTTGTCTCCTTAGGTAGGTTTATTCCTAGGTATTGTATTCTTTTTGTTGCAATGGTAAATGGTAGTGTTTCCTTAATTTCTCTTTCAGATTTTTCACCATTAGTGTATAGGAATGCAAGAGATTTCTGTGCATTGATTTTGTATCCTGCAACTTTACCACATTCATTGCTTAGCTCTAGTAGTTTTCTGGTGGCATCTTTAGGATTCTCTATGTATAGTATCATGTCATCTGCAAACAGCGACAATTTTACTTCTTCTTTTCCAATTTGTATTCCTTTTATTTCTTTTTCTTCTCTGATTGCCATGGCTAGGACTTCCAAAACTATGTTGAATAATAGTGGTGAGTGTGGACATCCTTGTCTTGTTCCTGATCTTAGAGGAAATGCTTTCAGTGTTTCACCATTGAGAACGATGTTGGCTGCTATGGCTTTGTCGTATGCAGCCTTTGTTATGTGGAGGTCGGCTCCCTCTGTGCCCACTCTCTGGAGTCTGGGTTTGCTTTTATTACTATGGCATCGGAGTCACACTCACCATGTGCCATTTCTGTATAAAAACTTGTAAATTCCAAGTCCCAGAAGGAAAAACTGTAAACAGGTATACTTATATTCATCAGCTCTTTATTTCCTTCAGAGACTAACAGGTCTGTGGTGGATTATAGAAAAGGGAGCTGCTTCCCCCAATCACATGGGTTACTTCAACATTTTAGGAACCCAGCCGAAAGCAAAAGGTCTAAAGATGAACGTTTGTTATCCCTGAAATTCTCAAAATAAGAAAGCTGCTTTCTGTTTCCTTGGCTGCCATCTAGTGGTCAGTGATGTAGTGACAGTAAAACAACACTACATCTTACGTGAAGACTCAGATTTATCTGCCTGTCTTTAACCTAGAGGGATGGGATAGGGAGTGTGGGAGGAAGACGCAAGAGGGAGGAGATATGGGGATATATGTATATGTATAGCTGATTCACTTTGTTATACAGCAGAAACTAACACACCTTTGTAAAGCAATTATACTCCAATAAAGATGTTAAAAAAAAAAGCTAAAAACACAGTTAATTAAAGAAATATTACTGCAGGCATGAGGCAATTATCCTTTCTCATAATTCCTATTTAGATCCCAAAGTGTCATTCCCTTTCCTGTTTCCTGGTCTACAATCTTTTCCATGAAAAGACAAGCGATTCAACTATCGTATATCACTTTAGCTCTAGCACTGTGCATTAGGACTAGGGCTAAAAGGATGAATAAGATAAGGTCCCTGCCTTCCCTGGAGAAGAGACATGAACTCAAATAATGAGCAGTGTGATGAGTGCTTAAATCCAGAATAGATGAGTCATCAAGGGCACAAAGAAGAAAGAAAATCTGTTCTATTGGCCAAAAGAGTTTGAGTGGAGGCTTGCGTGGTGGGTGGAGGTTCTCCAGACAGACAAGAGCGGGGAAGCATGTAAGAGAGATGGGAGGCTGTGTGCTGGGGAATGTTGAGAAACCATATGAGGAAGATAGCCGGGGACTAGAGCAGGAACGGCCTTTGGAGACTGCATTCTTTAGCTAGTCCCATAACAAACAACCTCGAAACCCCAGTAGCATCCAACAAATATCACTTATTTCTTGCTCATGACTGCAAGTGGGCTGGGCTAACTGTGCCCTACTTGTCTCTCAGCCTCTCCTGGGACCCTCCCAGGACCTGTGGACTAGCCTGGGAGTGTTCTTTTCATGTTACTGGTAGAAGCACAAGAGGAAAAGCAGAAACGTGTAAGGCCTCTTAAGGCTGAGGCGCGGAACCAACCTGCTCTCTCTTCCCTGGATTCTATTAGCCAAAGCATGTCACTTGGCTGAACCCAAGCCAGAGGCAGGGAAACATCTTCCATTCCTTTAGTGGGAGGGCTCTGAGGTCGCATGTCAAAGGACTCGAATTAGGGGAGTGTAGGAATTGGGGCCAATGATGCCATCTGCCACAAGTTCTATCTTGGAAATGCTTATTTTGAGGTACCCATGGTTTTGTCTAAAATGTGGTTGGAAAACAGTTATGTAGCTCAAAATATAGGTCTGGCTTTGAGTGATGGAGCCAGGGGTGCCAAGACCCCAAACATGAACCCTTGTGGACCCCATCCCACACGAACTGGTCCAGAATCTCTAGGAGTGAGACAAGGAATCTACATTTTTACTGGTTCCCCAAATGATGATTCCCCAAATGATGATTCTTTCAAAAGTTTCTTAAAGTTTTGAAAGAAACCAGGACTGCTTTGTACCAGAACAAGGCCTCCACACCACATCCATTTACCCACCTCCCAAAACTTAGGCAGTGAGACCCCTGCCAGCCCAAAATGCTGCCGTTCTGTGCAAAACCAGCTAAACTCTACCATGCTGGTGGCTAAACCAGCGACTGGTGAGTGTTAGTTAATGATATCCCTCAGGGCTAATTTTCACCTGGCAACAAAGCTTAAGTTTAAGAAATGCACTTAATATAAAGCTGCAATCTCTGCTAAGGCAGGTGAGGACAGCCTCTGAAGAGCCTGTGAAACTATGTTCTCCCACTAGAGGTTTATTCTGCTGGCTTTACAAACCTGACTACTCAGCTTGTCGGAGTTAACTTTTACTAAAAAGTAGACTTGTCTGTCCCCCAGGATGTTCTCTGACTTCGACTTTGCTCTCTGAAAGTTTGCGCCAGAGCCTGAGCCTAAAATATCTGCTTCCTTCTCCAAAAAGAAAACGAAGGAGGAAAAGAAAAGCCCTCCCATGACTCAATTTTTTTGTGTGTATTATTTAAAGACATGCAAAGCCTAGAGAAGCTCCTGAGAGATGCTGTAATCTACGGCCAGCCTCGAACCCGCAGAGCCTGGAAAAAGATTCTCATCCTAGTGGAGGGCATCTACAGGTATGTAAATAACCGGAGACCTATTCACACACTGAGGCCCACAGCGAGCTGACAGATGGGGCAAGGCTGACCTCTCCTAGTTAAATGGAAAAATGAGTTAGATATAGGTGTTATGAAGGGACCTGAGTCAGAGCTATCAATGTGAACCATCAGGTCTTGGGTCACCTGTCTTTTCAATAACCATACGTATGGCGGAGCACCCTGGAGGCTGGCGTACTTAAGAAGGTGTCTTCAGAAACGTCCTGACAGAGCATTGCTAACTTGTATTGATTCCACTACTTTTGGCTGCCCCACAGTTTCAAAGGCTTTTAGGGGATGGGTTATTCAACCTCAGAACACTCTTTGCCTTTATGACAAGGGCAAGAAAGTAGATACTGCTGGTGGGCACCCAGCTGCCCCTAATTCAATAGTGCACCCAGAGTCCAGGCTTGCTGAACTTGGCCAATTGTTAGCATCAGGCTACAAAAAGCTTGCACATTTTCTTCAAGGTAAGGCTAACCTGGAGTACAATTCTTGATGCAGAGCTGGGAAGAGGGGGAGACGGTCTTAGCATCTGAAGGCATGCTCAGTCTTCCCACAGCTTGTAGGCTGAGCAGACAAAACATCCCCTAAGCCAGTCAGAGCTGCACTTTCATATTGCTGGTTGTGATTGAATTTGCTTCATTCTATGTCTGAATTGATGATCGTTACTAAGGTAGAAACTGCTCCCAAGTTTGTCTTCTGTTGGATGCCCTAGTCCATGAGTCAAGGAAACATTACTTCAGAGTTACTCACTCCTAAATCAATTCTCAATCTTAATGTTAGAAGAAGCAAGAGCAATGTTTCCTATGGGTTAATTATGGGAAAGTGAACAAGATTAAAAGGAAGGGAATGGGGCTTCCCTGGTGGCGCAGTGATTGAGAGTCCGCCTGCCGATGCAGGGGACACGGGTTCGTGCCCCAGTCCGGGAAGATCTCACATGCCGCGGAGCGGCTAGGCCCGTGAGCCATGGCCTCTGGGCCTGCGCGTCCGGAGCCTGTGCTCCGCAGCGGGAGAGGCCACAACAGTGAGAGGCCCGCGTACAGCCAAAAAAAAAAAAGGAAGGGAGTGAGGGCTTAAATTCCCAACAAGGGGAAGCGTGGCTGCAAAGGAGGCTTGAGATAAAGAGCAGCCTTTTTTTCTGCAGCTAAAGGAATCCATCCCTGGGGGCACCACACAAGCACATCTGGCAATTTTCAGTTGTCACAACTGCAGTAAAGTACTGCTGGCATCCTGGCATCTGGTGGGCAGAGGCCAGGGATGCTGCTAAGCCTCCTAAAATGCACAGGATAGTCCCCTGCAACGGAGAATTATCTGGCTCAAAATGTCAACAGTGCTGAGTTTGGGAAACCCTGCTGTAGAATAATGGAACCACTCACTGGCCCTGAACTTGCTACTTTTAGGAAATAATCTCATCTTGACTCTGGGCTGTCATAGCCTCAAGCACGGGTCTTTCTCCCTGTGTGATTTGTGCCAGATGCCAGCCTGGGAGGGGAGAACTTATCTAAACACCTGTCAATCAAGCCTGGACTGGTGGGAGCACAGATCAGCGGAGGGAGAGCAGACGGGCATCTCCTTTAACCAGAGTAAACAGAACCCAACTGCAAATAAACAGAACTTGGCTTCACTAAAGAGAAGTTGTGTTCTAAGTACTTTGATCATGGCTGAAATTAAGTGGACCACCAGCGTTTCACTGTCAAATATTCCCATCAGTTACACAAAGAAACCCCTCTGCTAATGGCTGTGTTGGGCCTGGGTCCTACCATGATATCAGGAGGATAGGCGAGCCAGGTGTGGACTTCGGCTCCAAAACAGGGTGGCAACAAACCACAGCTTAGGGTTCACTAGCAATGGTGACTGCCCAGTGACCTACTGCTGTGAAACGAGCCACCTCAAAGCACCGTGGCTTACACAGCAATGAGTTATTATTTCCCACGCTACTGTGGGTTGTCTGGACCAACTGGGCAGTTCTGCTCCATGTGACATTGGTTGGGGCCATTCATGTGGCTGCTTTCTATGGGGTGTTTGGCTGGGTCTGGAACATCCAAAATGACCCCACTCACACGTGTGGGCTCTTGGTACTGGCTGTTGACTGAGGTGCCTTATGCTCTCCTCTTCTCTGGGGTGCTCTCTCTATATGTAGGTTTTGCTCGTTCAGCAGTCTAGCTAGAGCTTCCTTACAACATGGTGGCTGGCTTCCAAGAGAATGAAAGCGGAAGTTGCCAGCCTGTTAAGGGCTGGGCCCAGAACTGGTACAACATCACTATGCCATATTCTATTGGTCAAAGCATGACACCAGTCCAGCCCGGATTCAAGGGGAGGAGAAACAGACCCCACCTCTTGATGGGAGGATTGGCTTGTGTATACAGGGAGGGGAAGACTTACAGGCAACCATCTTTGGAGGCAATCTACCACAGCAGCTCCATCAACCCGACATGTATACAGGGAGAAGTCTCCACTGTCCATGGACTTGCCTTCTCAGAGATGTTCCTTTTTTCTCACCTGCGCAGGAATCTTGTCTTTAAATGAGACTGTGACCTAAAGGCACTCATTCATATATAGGAAACAGGACCCTTCTTAAACAGGCCTCAGTACCTCCTGGGACCTCAGTTTCCTTGTCCGTAAAATAAGACTAGCCTAGAGTAGAGTTCTGGAACATATGGATGTTCTCGTTTGCTGCTCTCACCAGAAAATGAAATTATTTCCCACAAGATTTTCCAAAGGGCCAGGGTTACGCATGTGAAACCAGCCGTTCACAAATGTACTTTTACTTTCCAGAGACGTATTATGGATGTATACCTTGTTAGAATTCACACAAAACCTCCTTAGAGCGTCACTCCCAGATCTTTCTTATCTCTGGCTGTGGTTTGCCCCCATGGGCAAAGTCTCCCTACCACAGACAGCTCCCCTAAATCAATTTCTTCAAAACTCCAAAAAAGAGCAGTCAGCCAAATCAGACAGTTTCAGGTAGGTATCAAGGTAGAAAAGGCTAGATACCAAATCCAAGAAGTCAGTAAACTCCACAAAAGCAGTTATGATAATAATAATAATGGTAGCAATAATAATATCGTCATCCATAGATCATGTATGTATTAATATTTATATACAGACTATAGGGGAGTCAGGATTTGGAGGGAGGCCTGGGACATGGGTGTAGATCCTGTGTTGCTGCCTATAACTATGTGCCCTTCATAGGGTTCTTTTGTAAGAATTAAATGAGATCACATAAGCTAGTGCTTCGAGAAGCCCAGCGCATAGTAAACCCACAACCAAGGGTAGCTGTCTTCATCACTAAATTTATTTTCAGTTGAGGAAGTTGCAACTCAGAAAGCAATAGGCCATCTGCATGCCGAAGCTGTTTGACTCCTGAAGGATGGGTGTCAGAGGACAGGGTTCACATTTATCATGTGTTATTGCTAAACATTTCACATGTGCTATCTTGAGTAAGCGCCTCCAGTACTCCTAAGTTTATTGTGAGGATGAAGAAACTCGGGTTCCAAGACCTAGATAACTTGCCCCTGGGCAGATAACTGAGATAAATCAGAGCTGGGATTCAAACCAGGTGGCCCTGCTGGGACAGAGGCCCAATGCAAACAGAAGAATCAGCCCATGTGTCCACATTCAATGAAGTAAATGTGGAAAATGCAAGGTCATCCATTTGACTTTCAGCATCAACCTGTCTAGGGCTCGGTTTCTTCATCGGTAAAATCGGGAGATTGAAACTTGAAGTGTAGAGTTCCATGATTCCATAATTTGGGGGTTAGAAGTACAATAGTATTATTTTAGTGTTTCCACCTGCATTTTCTTTTAAGTATTGTTTTAAAGTCACAGTCTTCTAGTTTTGTGTCTCTGAGAAGCCTAGTGGTTGATTCATGGTGGTCAAAAAAAATCTCAAAATTATTCAAAAATACACCAGAGATGGGCAGAGAGGTCCCAAATAACTGGGGGTATGAACTAGCATAGCTGGAGCCCAAACTTTCAAAATAAAATTAATCACGAAATACTATCCAACCTTTTCCAAAAATACACATATAAACAAATGTTGAAATCTCAGAATGCCCTTTCCTCTAAGAATGTAAGCCATTCTCCTGCCCAAAATAATGTAAGTTTAAGGACTGAGATCTTCAGTGGTAAACTCGCACCTATACCTCTGTGGTTTAAACAAAGACAAAGAAAAAGAAAACAGTAGTTACTTTATTTTTCATTAAGCTTAGTTCCTTTTTTCCCCTTTCTTTCCACCTTCCTTTCTCCCCTTGGATTGTACTCAGGGCCCACCAAGGAGATTTTTCCACCATGTAAGTTGGCAAGCCAGTGGTTTAAATCCCAATCCTGCCAGTGGGTAATATGGTTTATAGGTGGAGCAGAAGGTGGTGAGAGGGAGATTTCAAAAAGTAGTCTTGTTACTTAGCTAATACATTATGTAATAGAAAAGATATAAAGAAATTATTCACTGACTTGCTGGTTTAAGAATCATTCAAGTCCCTGCACAGAACTTCACATTAACTGGTGGAATTATCTTTACCTACAGTTGTACTTTAGTTTTTTTTTTTTTTTTCTATTCAAGTCAAAAGAAAACACAACCTTCCACTCAGGAGGAAAGAATAAAACACTGTTCTTAGGTTTGTTTGGGTTTTTTAAAAATCGTTTCTGGCAGTGTTCTTTGACAGCAATTTGCAGCAATAACATAGATAGCCTTTTCATGTAAACACCAAACCCAATATCTCACTACAGGGAAAGGTTCAATTCAAATTTGGTCACATTGAGAGAAAGAAAACTTAGTGTGGGTAAATATAGCTCTTTATGAAAACTGAATTCCCTCTAGGACTCATGTGTGCCCTACATTAACTCCTGAAATCAGCAGTATTGTGGAGTCATTAATCTTCGAGGAAGAAATATAAACCAGGTGAGCAGGCTCCTAACATCAGCTAGATCGGCCCAAGCAAAGATGGCTAATTAGCTGCCCAGAGTGTCTGCAAACTGTTCAACATTAACTCCGGTTCCTGCCAAACTCAGTTCCAGAACAAAGAATGGCTATTTGTGACATGTCAGGCTTTTAGCATGTTTGTGTTACCAATTTAGAACATTTTAAAAGATGAGAAGATTCTAGAATTTTGAGGGCATACAGCCATTTATTATGTATGACACCCATATGCTTTCTTCCTGGAAAATTCAACACAGAGCATTGTCAAGGGCTCCCAATTTCTCAAATTAGGCCTCGTTGCTACCATTTCCTCCTAAGCTCCACCTGAGAACAAGAACAACCCAATGGGTGCTCGTTATACGTCAGAACTTTACAAATATTATTTCTAGTCATTCTGATAAGGGCCTTATGAGCAGTGTGCCATCATCATGCTTATTTTATATCCGAGGAAACTGAGGCAGTGAATAGCAAATAAGTTGCCCAAGTCCTCAGTTAGTAAGTGGTGTGGCTACCATCTCAGCTTAGGCAGTCAGCCGGCTGGACCTCCTCCCCGTCAATGGAAACAACTTTAACAAGCAATTACTCTAAGAAAATACTGGAATTAACTTGCAAACTTCTGTAAGAGAAGATGACTCTATTTGGTCTTCATGTCATTAAAACCTGAAAACAGCCTTTCAGAATGACCTTGTGAAAAGCACAAGTGTAATAAGCTGGACTTCATTAAAATTAAGAACTTTTTCTCTGCAAGACAATGCCAAGAGCATTAGAAAGACATGCCACAGACTGGGAGAAAATATTTGCAAAAGATACATTTGATAAAGCATCATTATCTAAAAGATACAAAAAACTCTTAGAGCTCAACAATAAGAAAACAAACAACCGGGTTCAAAAATGGGCCAAGGACCTTAACAGATACCTCACCAAAGATTTACAGATGGAAATAAGCATGTGAAAAGATGCTCCGCATCATATGCCATCAGGGAAAATACAAATTAAAACAATGAGATACCACTACACACTTGTTAGAAGTTCACAATCTGGGACACTGACAACAGTAAACGCTGGCAAGAATGTGCAGTAACACAGAGCTCTCATTCACTGCTGGTGGGAATGCAAAATGGTCCAGCCACTTTTGATGATGGATTGGTGGTTTCTTACAAGCATGCTCTGACCATACAATCCAGCAACCATGCTCCTTGGTATTTACCCAAAGGAGCTGAAAACTTGTGTCCACTCAAAACCCTGCACACAGATGTTTGTAGCATCTTTATTTATAATTGCCCAAACTTGGAAGCCACCAAAATGTCCTTCAGTTGGCAAATGGCTAAATAAACTGTGGTCCATCCAGCCAATGGAATTTTATTCAGCACTAAAAGGAAATGATCTGTGGAGCCAATGAAAAGATGTGGAGGAAACTTAAATGCATATTATTGAGTGAAAGAAGCCAATCTGAAAACGTTACATAGCGTATGATTCTAGCTACATAATGTTCTGGGAAAGGCATTACTATAGAAACAGCAAAAAGATCCCTGGTTGCCGTGGGTTGGGTGTGGAGAGGGATAAGTAGGTAAGCACAGTGGATTTTTAGGGCAGTGAAAGTAGTTTGTGTGATGTTATAATGGTGGATACGTGTCATTATGCATTCGTCCAAACCCATAGAATGTATGATGCCAAAACTCAGCCTCTGTGCACCAATACCAAATCAAATCTTGGAGACAAAGTTTTGGGTGAAGTAGAAAAGAATAACATTATTGCTTTGCCAGACAAAGGGGGACACAGGGGCTAATGCTCTCAAAACTGTGTGTCCCAACCTGGGGGGATTTGGTGAGGAGTTTTATAACAGTGGTTCAAGGATGGAGCTGCTGATAAGGCTCAGGGTGTATGCAGGGCCTGCATTCCTTTAATCTGGCCTTTGGTGGTCTTTTGATGAGCTTCTGTGGTTCTGGAGGTTATCAAACTGACCTCTCTTGAATGAAGAGCACTTCATCAAGTAGTTAACATCTTCCATTTGTTGGGGGTTTTAGTTCTGCCAAAACTTGGAAGCAACCAAAATGTCCTTCAGTTGGCAAATGGGTAAATATGAGAAGAGCTCGAAGATATTGTTATGTGTATCCCTTGAGGCAGAACCAGGACCCTGACCCAAGGCCGCACTATTGTTTCTTGACTGCTCTTCCCTTGTCTCTGCATCCCCTCTCTTCCCTGATTAGCAACTGTTTGAACCTGCCCTCTGGAACTCAGGGTAGGTCATGAAAGCTGAAACCTATTTCCTACAAATAAGAAACAGGGGACAGAAGGCTTTTGTGCCCAGGAGCCCCACAGGGTCCTGCTTGGTTTCACATACAAGGCCAAGGGTGAACCCTAATATAAACTATGGGCTTTAGATGGTGATGCACCAATGTAGGTTAATCAGTTGAAACAAATGTATCACTTGGGTGGGTGATGTTGATAGTGGGGGAGGGTATGCATATGTCAGGTGGGGGTATATGGGAAATCTCTGTACCCTCTACTCAATTTTGCTGTGAACCTAAAACTGCTCTGAAAAATAAAGTCCTTTAAAAAAAAGAAAAAGCATCCAACACCTGTTGGTCTGGGTAACTATGTAACAGCTGGACTGTTTTGACTGGATCGACCTAACACTTAAATTATTTTTTAATACATTAAATAAATACATAAACTAATTAAGAAGAAGGGAGAAGGTCAACTCTGTTTGTGTCAATTGACTAGTTCTTGAACTAAATTGATGGGTTGCTTAAACTGTTTGACAAGCTCCTTCATGGGGGTGAGGGTGTGAGTCTGTGTGTTTTCATAGAACTCGCCTGTCAGTGCAGTGAAAACTGTGTGAGCTGTGGACACAGCTTAAGAAGTGTTCTGAGAACTGATTAAAGACAAGAGTTCTTCTAAATCCATTGGGTTCCAAGAGGTGCCATGTAAATATCAATGTTCATTTCACTTGCTTATTTACTTCCTGTCTTTCCCTTTGCTGGAGGACTAGAAGTGTTTTTGCAATTTAAAATACCATGTAAATTTACCAAATTACAATAATACCATGAAAAATTAAGCACTTAGGCAACAAAAGTTGATCTATAGCAGTGGTTCTCAGAGTGCTGTTGCCAGCTAGCAGTAGGAGAATCTCCCAGGAGCTTGGTAGAAATGCAAATTCGAAGCCCATCCCAGACCTATTAAATCAGAAACCCTGTGGGTGGGACCCAGCAATCTGTGTTGTAACAAACCATTCAAGGGACTCTGATGCTCACTCAAGATTGAGAACCATTGCCCTAAAGGAAAAGAAGGGACACCACCAGAAGCCTCGAATAAGCCTTTGAGTTCAGTGAGGACTGAACAGGAGACCCTAAGGACTTTCTCCCATGCTTTAACAAATTTATGATGTCTTAAAGTTCTTTTGTGTGTTTTTAATTCCTTCTTTTAATCTTTGGCAATTCAAGCACTGAGTTTAGGTCAGAGAGAACTGACCAAGTAGACAGTAGCAGGCTGATGAAGATACATCAACATAGAGCAATTTAATTAAAACTAGCAAAATACCTAGAATCCAACATGGTCAGTCTAGTTATGCTAGTCGGCTTTACTAATATTGATAAATTGATCAACAATGCAGTGAGCTGTTTACTTGGGAACTAGCTATAACAACTCAAAGCACTTAAATCCACTGAATGTAAATTATTTTTTTTCCCCAAGTGAAATAATGCCAGAGCAGCCTTACAAGATTGAGAGGTTTGTCTCCACCAAATAAAATATGCCTTCAGAAGAAAGGAATGGCATGTCCCTGCCATCCCCATCTGGTGTCAGGGCAGACTGTCTGAGAAGTACTGAAAGGGAGAGTGACACAGAGTTTCCCTGGAGGGTACACACGGGTGATGAGCATTTCTCCTTATGCCCTAGCATGGAAGGTTCCATCGCGCGTCTATCCCAGATCGTGGCTCTAAAGAAGAAATACAAGGCTTACCTCTACGTAGATGAAGCTCACAGTATTGGGTCCGTGGGCCCGACCGGCCGCGGTGTGATGGAGTACTTTGCAATGGACCCCAGAGATATTGATGTATTTATGGGCACATTCACCAAAAGCTTTGGCGCCTCGGGAGGTTACATAGCTGGAAGGAAGGTAAGAGACAGGTCCCTTGTGTCTGTTTAAAACCTGAATGCCCTCGGAAGGTAGTCTGCGGGGTCTTCCGATTTCCCTGAGAGCTTCAGTTCAGTTCAACACACTTGACTGCTGAGGGCAGCCTTGCCACTGTGTGTTCACAGCCATGGCAGGCCCAGAAGGTCAAGGAGCTCATTCTGTGATAGCGCAGAGGAGCATGTGATGAGCAATCACATGACCATAAAAAGACAACACCGGCTGTGCACACAGGCAAAGACAGTACAAAGGAAAGGGCAGTACCTAAGAAGTCTTAGAATGAATGTCAGTCTTGTAGACAAAGGATGGGGCAGCGGGGTTTATATTTCAGAAAGAGGGAATGATGGCTAACAAGCCACAGAAGTGATGCTGCAGAACGGTAAGTCGTTTGGGTTTTGTGGCGTGAAAAATGCAAGATGGGTGGTAGAAACAGTGAGCAGAGGTCAGATGCTCAGGACACTGACCCTGTGCTACAAGTTGTGGGTTTTCAGAGTTTTAATCAAAATAGTAGCAAGATCGACAATGTCTTTTTTAGAGATTTTCTCTGCAAACTAATTGTCTTCCACAATTTTGGATAAGCCATGGGTCAAATCTTGTCATCCTCTGATACCTTATGTAGGTGACTTAAGATTCTGATCTGAAGGAATCAGACTGTTAAGTGTTATCCCTGTCATTCTACTGCCAATGTCACCAAGGGGGTTGCTAAAATAAAACAAATGCTTCAAAGGATTTTAAAAGAAGACGGAAGGGGTGGAGAGAAAGAAAATGAAATATTAAAACCTGGGTTTCAGGGCTTCCCTGGTGGCGCAGTGGTTGAGAGTCCGCCTGCCGATGCAGGGGACCCGGGTTCGTGACCCGATCCGGGAAGATCCCACATGCCGCGGAGCGGCTGGGCCCGTGAGCCATGGCCGCTCAGCCTGCGCGCGACGGAGCCCGTGCTCCGCAACGGGAGAGGCCACAACAGTGAGAGGCCCACACACCGCAAAAACAAAAACAAAAACAAAAAAAAACCCTGGGTTTCAGGGCTCAGAGAGCCAGTTAATCTGCTCCTTTATAGGACAGTCTAATCCAAATCCTGATAGCTGTCTCCCCCAGGCCTACACCTGTCCCAGAGAGACTGTGATAGTGTAGCTGGCTCCAGCCAGGAGGGCAAAGAAGGCTCAAAAGCAGTGCATGCCGGTGGCTCGATGGCTTCTCTAAAATTCCTGATTCTTCACTCATTTTCCCCAGCAGGAACAGGAGTTCAGACTCCTGGTAAACCAGTTAGACAAAACCAGAGAGTACGGCAAAAACAGTCTGGTTGTGGAAAGCCCATGATTTAAAACAACAGATTTTATTACGGCCACTGACCCTGCCATGAGATGCGCAAATGCTTAAAACGTCCAGAGCTTTTAGTGGTCTTTACCCTTCAAGAAGCATCACTTGCTTCCGAGCTCAAAGCATTGTTGTTCAGCATCCTTCCACTGGTCTGTGGGAATTCGCTGGGTGATGCTAAAAACGTAGGAAATGCCCAGGATCTTACAAAAGTCAGCTAAATCTGGTGAGAGGTTAAACTTTCCGTTTCTCGACTGTCAAAGCAATGGGATCAGAGGGTCTCAAAGTAGGCATGCCCCCGACCTAGGCTACTTGGCTTTGTGATTACTTTAGCAGAAGTTCTGAGCTACAAAATTTTTAACCAAGCGTAACTCTGTTTCCTGAACCAAAGGCACCTGAATAAACTGAAGCGAGTGGATCCTTGAAATGTTGTCAAACTTGGTAGCTGTCATCATGTCCCCCTTAGAGTTCCTTCAAGTGATACCCGCTTTAAACAAAGGCTCCTGACGGCCCCTTTAGGATCAGCTCAGTATGGTTCTCTCACATACTCTCCATCCTAAGGTCAGGTGGACTAGTTTAAAAGTGCATTTGCTCTTGTCTATGTAACTTCTATTGATTTGGGGTAGATACTGAGCAATTGTGAAAATTATTTAGTATTTACATTAATCAAGAGGGAGATAAAAGTATGTAGATCATTTTTTGCTCTTTAAAAAAACTCATTTTGTTCATACTTAGACCCAGAGGGCTTCATCATTTCCCCCTTTCCCCTCTCCCCCTCCCCGCCCTCCCCTTCACCTTCCCCTCTCGCTCTCCCTCCCCTTCCCCCTACTCCCTCCACAAATCCTCTGCAGTCTCTGAATTTACCACTAGGTGGCAGCAAGAATTAGAGAGTGTTTGGCTGACCCATGCAGAGACCTACTGTCCTGAAACAGCAAGATGCAAAACCTAGAAAACACAGGGTAGTAGTTTTCAAGATGTGGAGGGTGAGCAGGAGATAGGAGGTCACTTGAGAAAGTGTCTGCATGGGCCGTTCCCTGATGATTTAAAACTCAGTCAGGTAAACACCTGTCTGGAATCGTTTCGGTGAGACTGTGATAAACCCAGATAAACTGTGGTTTCCTTCTAGCCTAATGAGCCCATGAGTTAATGGAACTTATGCATCTGCTCCTCTGTGCATTTAATTTGTTAAATTAAGTTAATTTTATATTATGTATAGTTTCCATTTAAATCATAGTTTTTACGCCCCTGGACTTTGAAGAATTTTCACTTTCAGTTTGTTTTAAACTATGCTTTTTAATTGATAGGACATAGGGTTGGGCAAATGCTACAGATTTGTTTGAAAAAATAACCTTTCTAGTATCTGTTTAAATAATTTGAGTTCAGAGTTTCATCATACATATTTTTTCTGGATATTTTAAAGTATATCCAGCATTCTAGATACTAAATACTACAAAAGCAACAAAATTAACCATAAAAAAATGTTAAAGTGCACACACTAGGACTTTATATTTTTCTGAAATCTTGATAATTTCAAGTTCACTCTGCTCATGGGCTTCCTAGTAAATCTTGAGATTTAAAAATAATTACTTGAGTCCAAAAATCTAGAAAACTATAAAACTGTCTAGCTCTTAACTCTCTTTTTAAATGTCAAGGTCAGTGTTAGTGGCACAGGAACTATATTCCCAGTAATAGTTTCTAGGAGGCTCTAGAAATCTTTAGGGAGCAGGTGAAGGCAGATGCGTCACGTAAGAAAAAATATTCGGAAACACACAAAAGAAAAATTGGTTTGGTGCTAAGATACGACTACAGAGAGTAGAGATTTTTTTTGTCCTCACTTCAGCCTTCTGGTAACAAAATGTCCGACAAATTCATCTCCACTCTTGGAGTTTACTGCCTTGGCCTGACCTACTCTCCCAACCTCAGGGAAACTGCTAAAACAGTCTCTCAAGAGCCAGCAAGGTTTTACTGTTTTGCCCACTGTGAGTTCGGAGCTGCTGTAGCTGATCCATGAACAACCCACAGTGAATCTTTCTCTCCTTTCAAGACCTTCAGGTGAAATGTCAGGTACTTACTCCTCTCCACCTATCAGAGCTCCATGCCATGAACGGCTTCTTGGAAGAAAGCCTGAGCTGATGGGGCTAGTTTCCTTATTTTTATTTTTTAATTTGCATTAATTCAGTTGCTGAGGAGATGGGGTCAACACTGCAGACGCCAGCTTCTAGGATCCCGGTTTTGCTCAGGCAAGGATCCTGAGTCCTCTTGCATGCCTGGGGTTGAGCACTGGCTTTCACAGCCTCCACTGGCTGACCAGAGATTTGCAAATGAATGAAGCGAAAGTGACCCTGCGGACTGATAGGTTGCAGGGCTGAGATTCTGGAGGAGGGGACTGGGCAGCCAAGCTTGGCGTGAGTGTTAGCCCAGAAGCCTGGGCGCCGGACGAAGGCAGAAGCCAGCTCTGCCCTGCGTGATCAGCCCTGGCTGTATTTAACAGTCCTTTGAAGTAAATGGAGGTCATGGAATGAATGCCAAGATGTTTACCCTAAGAGCCTCCTGTCTAACTTTCTCAGAAAAGCCACCCTTGTCCTTGAACTCCAGGCTCAGGGTTTTGCATTTACTAATGGCCTTGGAAACCTCGGTCTGAAGAGACCTCTAACCCAGCCTGAAGGAAAACACAACATGGTCTCTCCTTAAGACCAAAGCTAACTCGTAATTCATGGTTCATGGCATCCAGTGGGCAAGTGATAGGAGGAAATCGGAAAACCAGGAACCAAGGCTTCCTTGATGTCCTGCTGAGGGGACTCCAAGAGTCCCACTTTCTGAACCACACAGGTAAATTACCTCCCATCCACACACTCAGATTCTGAGAGAAATTGGACTCAGTCTGAAAGAAATAAGATTATGGGCAAGACAGTCTTACTGCTTAAAGGAAGTGATACTGTGCCGGTGAGGCATCTATTCAAACTAAGGATGCGTGTGACCTTGGCTTTGTGAAATTTCTCAATTTGATAGGAAAATTGGGGGTTGGGGACACAAAGACCCCTTTAGGGATCAAAGGCAGCTTTGTTTTGTTTCTTTGATCTTTGTCAGCAATGCCCCAAGGCTACGAGAATATTGCTACACCTGTTCCTAAGAATGTAGCTTAAGACCTCCCTCTATACTTCAGGGACCCTCACCATCCTTCCTTAGCCCCTAAACCCTTCTGCTTTCCATTAGACCATCAGTATTTACCAGAGCCCCACTAAGTACCCACCACTATGGATTATAAGAGAGTGTATAATAAAGTATATAACTCAGTTCCCTACTCTCAAGGAGGTTCCAGTTTCTTTGGAGAAATAAATGTAATAGACAGGAAGTATTTTGAGACTGATACAATTCAATCTGTGGTTTAGAACTATGAACACTTGAGTACATTAGGAATTCTCCTCTTCCCCTCCTCCTCCAGAGGTGCAATCTCTGTGGATTAGGGCAAGCACCACAGGGATAAGTAGCAGTGAAGGTGGTCCTCTCTGTGCTCCTTGGGCCATCCCCCACCCTGTGCCAAGCCCGCTCCTCTAGTCTGAAGAAGTAATACAGTGCAGAGCTAAGGGGGGTGCAAGGGGGGCGGTAATCTCAGGACAGACTGTTTGGGTCCAAATCCTTGTTATCCAGCCACTTTTTGCACTTTTTGGTTGGATAATTTTCTGATCTGTTCCACGACTCAGTGATCCCACCTGTAAAATGGAGATAAAAATAATACTTATCTCATAGCGTTACTGTGAAGCTGAGTTAATACATGCAAATATACATGTAAAATACACATAAAATTCTCAAAATGGAGCTTCAAGCAGCCAGTGAATATCAGCTCTGGGTATATCAATGAACTGTCAGCTCTACCATCTTTGCAGTCATGCAATCTGCCATCAGGCCTGGGTTCTCCTTTCTTTAGAATGCCTCTCTTTTCCTTTCTTTTCACTCCTACTGTTAACCACCCAATAAGGATGGAGGAAGTGCTGGGCTGAAAATCTTTGGTTTGATGCCCGGATCTACCAACATGCAGTTATGTAACCTTATAGCATTACAAGCGAGCTGGAATAAAGACACTGTAAGAAGTTTTTACATTTTGGTCCCCTCCTCCCAACCCATGCTCCCAGTGTTAAGAATCTCTGAGATGGCAATGCATTAACAATAATTGCCAACAGCATCAGGTATTCACTAGGTACCAGATGCTTCTTAAGCACCGTGTATGTATTAACTCATTTAATCCTCACAAGGACCCTGAGTTAAGTATTACCCTTATCTCATTTTTCAGAGGAGACTAAGGCACAGAGAGGCTTAGTAACTTGGCCATGGTCACATATCACTAAGTGGCAGAGCCAGGATTTGAACCCAAGTGATCTAGTCTCCACAGCCTGTCTTGTAACTCTGCGGTCAGAACTCCCTTCAAGGGAACAACCCCTCATCACCTTTTCTTGGAGGCAGTAGCTTCTCCCTCTGCCCCCATTTGACTCCTCCATCCTGTGCTGATTAGGATGCCATCTTTATTACTAATTTTAGCACATGTCCATGCCTCTCCCGTCCTCTATCCAAATCTACCCATCCTTCAAGGTCAGATCATCTCCTCAAAACAGATCTTTCCTGACCACATGAGCCCCATGATCCCATTTCCTGCATCCCACCCGTTCCCTCTTCACTGGCTTCCCCAGCATCCTGCTGGAAGGCACCAGCTCTCAGCAGAGAAAGAAAACACCTGCTGCTGCTCATGGAGGATTGTGAAGAGCAGCTTGGCTGCGGCTACTCTGGAAAATGACCGCCTCTCTCTCCCTGACCCTCCCGCCACATCCTCCATCGTCAAAGTGAACTTCCTGGATACCATGTGGCCAGTGCCTTCATTCAGGCCAACATCGCACACATCCTCTTCAGATACAGTGAAAACACTGTTTTTATGAGATTTACTAAACAAAATAATGGACAGAAACTTAATTTTGATTTTAATGTAAGTGGAGAATGGCTGCCAGGGACTAGGCTTTCTATCTTCCGCCTCTTCTTGGGCTCCGGCATTCAGAACATAGCCCAGCGCACATCCTTGTACAAACTTGCTGAATGGAAAGATGGAAGGAGGGAAGAGGCGAGGGGTGGGGAGAGAAGGAGGGGAAGGGAAGGAAGGAAGGAAGGGGGAAGGGAAGGAAGGAAGGGAGGAGGAAGGAAGGGAGGAAGGGAGGGAGGGAGGGAGGAAGGGAGGGAAGAAAGGAGAGAGAAAGAAAGGAAAGAAATACTTAGAAATGGAAAGAAAAAGGATTTGAATGGAGAATTTAAAATTAAAATAACTAAAGAGAGGGAACTAAAGATGCAGACCTACTAGAGAATGGGCTTAAGGACACGGGGAGGGGGAAGGGTAAGCTGGGACAAAGTGAGAGAGTGGCATGGACATATATACACTACCAAACGTAAAATAGCTAGCTAGTGGGAAGCAGCTGCATAGCACAGGGAGATCAGCTCGGTGCTTTGTGACCACCTAGAGGGGTGGGGT